AAACAATTATAAAATTATAAATAAATACATGAATTAAATTACACTTAAATAAAAATTACCTAAAATTATAACTAAATAAAATAAATAAAAATACATAAATAAAATAAATTAAATTAAATACATAAATTAAATTTAAAAATTCAAAGAAAATAACAGAAATTAAAATAAAAATATAAAATATATAAATAGTACATAAAAAAATTACATTTATAAATAAATAAATAAACAAATAAATTTAAATAAAATACAATACAATAAAATATAATATATAAATAAAATACACAATTTAAATGAAAACATTCTAAAATTATAAATAAATAAATACATAAATTAAAATATGAATGAATTAAATTGAACTTGAATACATTTCAAAAATAAATAAATAAATAAATAAATAAATAAATAAATAAATAAATAAATAAATAATTTGCATCACCATGTGAAGTGCCAAAAAACTGAGAGCCACTGTTATGCTGATTATGAATTTAGTTTGGTAACACTTTACAGTAAATGTCAACATTTATATTTCATAAGCTATCATTAACAATTAGCAGTATATATATATATATAGAAGCTTTTCTTTTGTATGTTTTTTCTAAACTATAGTTTTGAAAGTGTTTATACCAGTACTTTAAGAAAGATTAATGTTTATGATGTAAAAAAAAAATAATGATAATAATAATAATAATAATATTAATAATATTAATAATAATAAGTATTAATATTATAATAAGTTAATTTATTAATTAATTAAATTGATCTTGTAAAGTGTTACCAATTAATATAATCTTGATTCTCTTATTAGCAAGCACATTAAACGTACAGACTGCCCCCAGATGAAACAGCAGGGTTATTGTTTTGAAAATGATTTGGATGTAGTATTACAGGAAGTATTTGGATTAAACACAACGACACTAAAGAATGCAGAAATGATTAGTAAAAGAGATCAGCGGTAATTTAAAACCAATCTTTCTCACCATGAGGCTCCTTATGTTCCTCTGGGCCCATTTCTTCACAACAAAAACAAATTATTTTAACACGTGAACAGTCGTTTAGTCGTCAGCTTGCCTAACCGGCTGTTAAAAAACAGACTTACTTGTTTTTTGTTTTTGCCGCCTCTCATAGACACACAGATATCGATGGCTATGAAACCCATATCTTCCTCCAGACTGTTGGGATCGTCTAATGGAAGCACCATCTCAGTGGTCCTGAATGACAAAATACAATAAATAAAATTTGCATGAGAAACCACACTTCTGAGATTACCCTAGGGCTATTAATTTAATGAATAAAAGGACGGGTGGCACGGTGGCTCAGTGGTTATCACTGTCACCTCACAGCAAGAAGGTCGCTGGTTCCGGCTGGGTCAGGTGGTCTTTCTGTGCCCCCTGATCAATAAGGCACTACAGGCTGATGGATTAAACAACAGATCATGAACTTACTTTTCAAGTTCCAGTTTATCCAGCCCAACACTGCAGGAGCCCATGAAGTCATCTGAAGTCAGATCTCGGTCAAAAACCTGAATGCAACCAATGGATTGAAACTATACTTAGTTCCCCATATTCTACATTAGTAGAAAAACAGAGATAACACAGTATGGCAAACAGTGTACCTTGATGAAGACTGTCTGCTCCAGGCTGCGGATCGGGAAGGTGAAGGACTCATTCCAGACTGGGTTCAGGTTCTTTAACACCACTTTACTTTTGTACACCATCTTCCCATCCAGCTTGACCTTCACATATGGATCACTCGTGCCTGTGGAGATGGCAGATTTTTTTTAATGATCACCTAATCACCAACCTGAATTCACCAAGTAGGACATGATCCTAGATTAACATCTATGTCGATCCTGAAACAAAATTACAGAATTAAGGGATCCGTTTTGAGTTTGTTAAGTTTAGGCTTACGGTTAGGTTTATGTACTTCTACATAATTGTTATCCAACTATTATTCCCCTCTGATTCTGGCAATAGTTTACAGTTATGGTTGTGTTTAGGGGTAGGGAACAGGTATCGATTACATTTTCCAACAAAAATGATGTTCCAGAATCAACATAGATGATAATCCTGCACCACATGGTATGCAAAATCATGACGTGCTCATGTCACAGTTAGAAAAAACAATGGGGTTTATGAACGGTCATGCCATTATAAACTCACCACATTGTAGAGCTTGCCTGTTTAAAATTAATGGTCTTCACTGCCTGATTGAGATACTATATAAAGTGGGCCTCACATCAGACAACAAGCCCTACATTAAATTCCAGTGTTTGGATGTCTTTAAAATATGAACATTTATTTAACCACAGTATTTTCAATGCATTTTCTGCTGCTTCTGATGGTGTTTTAGCAAACTTTCACCTCGTTTTACGATTGAACAACTAAAATGGACACTTTCTAGGTCTATTTAATAGACTATATTTGAATTAAATTACATTATCAATAGTGTAAAAGCAACCTTGTGAAATTGAAACCTTTCACTGAAGGTTTGTCAGTGGTTAAAAAAAAAACACTTGTTTTTAATATAGACCATTATTAGGCTCAGACAGATTCTGCACATGCAAAATTACACAGAAACAACTGCAGAATATTTATATTTTAGTATGTTTTTTTATTTATTTTAGATGTATTGTTGAATTATATGTAAAGATTTATAATTTGAAGATGATTTGTGATACAGCGTAAAGTATTATTAAAAAAAGTAGTGCAAAGTTATGTTTTTAGTGGATGTATTAATATATGAGAGACCTACTGTAGCTTTCTTATCTTCAAGGTTCTTATTGCATTTGCATTGTAAACTTTAAATTTGAAAAAAGTGTCACTTTTAGGGTCCTTTCATTTACAAAGTGCAATAAGGCACAAGACGTGTATGGCGTGATTTGTAGTCATTTTCAGACCAGTGCAACTCTAATTTTCCCATTTTCCGTAACCTTTTTTAAATAGAATTTTGTGGACTCATAGGTTGTGCTGGTCTGACAAAGAGGTGTGTTAAAGTACATTGTTGGTGTGTTGCTTTTTTGAGAAACTGAAGTAGCCCGCGCCATTGACCAATTAAAAGTTTGTCTAAAGTCCAGAGCGCGTTAGTTATGCACCTGTGCAGGTCCAAACACTTGCACACTGCTTAATACACACAGGATGTACAGCAATACACAAATATCTTTACATATATATATAAAAAAAAATTAAAGTGTTACAAAAATGATTATTTTTTTACATAAATATAAAAAACACTGCCTCCATGCCTTCACCTCGGGGTGGGCTTTTTCAGTTTAATAAAAACTAGTGAAGAATTCAATGTAAAAACCTCTAATTGCCGTCTGAAATTTTCTTCTAAAATGAACATTTTTATCAGGCTCCTGTATGTAGGTTCAATAATTTTCACTTTTACGGCAAAGAAAAAGTCCTTTATATGATCTTTAAAGTGAAAAAGCACAACATAAACAAAGGAGGCTGGGAAAAATGTTAATTTTCGATGGAAATTTCAGACGGCACTTTTGTCAAACTTTTGTTTTTGGTTTTGGAGAAGTCTGCATCACCATATGGGGTATAAGAATATGATGTGTGTTTGGATATAACTCAGTTTTTTGACAACACTTTGTTATTATTGTTCATTTATTTGTTTGCTGGAAATGAAAACAGAATTTAGAAATATTTTTGAAACAAATCTTTGCACTTAAACTAAATTAAATATGTAGGCTAATGGATGTCTTCAGTGAAGTGAGTACAACACTGTTTTCTTATCCACAAAGGGAGTAAAGAGTAAAGAGAAAGTAAAGAGGCCGAATGGAGGAGGCTCATTCTTTATACTCACACTGCAGATGGTCTGTTTAACTGTTTTCTTGCTAGAGAAGCGTTCAATTTTTCCTCTTACAAACTCTATGATGTAAATAGCAAATGTACCACGGCGAGATGCAACTGACTCTTAAAGTGAAATGGGAGATGAGATTCTGATTGGTTTAATTCACGTTATGCTCAAAACACACCCATAACTCATTATGGGAATAAGCACAACCCTGTTAGACCATGCGCCGAGCGCAGACCATTTTTCCATCCTTAAAACAGCAAAAGTTGATGTGCCCTGAATGCTTTTGCACCATGTGCGTTGGACTTTGCAGCTAGATCTTTAAAATAGAGCCGCTAATCTTTTTGTTAAGTTTACAGCTCCTAAACATGAATCTGCAAATATTTTTTTTACATAATTCTACACAGAAATAGCATAAAAAGTCTGCAGATTTCATCTGGATATCTTCTTTTGTGTTCAACAAAAGAAAGAATCTCAAGTAGGTTTTAATCAAGTGAAGGTTATAATGATGATGGTAATAATGATCAAAAGGCTTTAGGGTGAATTAGAACATGTATTTAATAAGCTTTTAATGAATGTGTACCTGCAAGCACATCTGCATCATTACTTTCCCTTCAATTAGATGACATGTGTAGTAAACTCGGTTTAGTCGTGGTTGTGGCTTTTCACTAACAAGGATGTGGTTATTATTCAAGTGCCACATCATGACACAAACCAGACAAAACTGAAAACTGAAAGAGACTGAAAGGTTTCAAGATGGAATTCGGCCTCTGCTATGGTCAGACACTTCAACAACGACGGCTAAAAAGACAGGGGATACTGTGATTTACTCGTTTGGCTCTTGTTTTGATAACTCTCTTTCACAAGTAGATGGCAGCATTTATCACTTCACTTTGAGAGAACTCTGCACCCACATTCCCACCACTGTGCACAATCCTGTTCCTGAAGATCTACTTTCCTGCAGAGTTCAGCTACAACCCTGACCAAAAACAACTAAACAAGCTTAGTAGGATCTGAAGGTGCACTTGGTAATTAAAGACCGGGGGGTTGATCAAGGTTTTAGCTGAACACTGTAGAAAGGTTGATCTCCAGGAATAAGATTGGACACCCCTGCACTACTGCTTTAATTGTGATCAGACCATCAGTTTTTCAGCAGCACAGTACAAAGATATGCGCTATAGGTAAATTGAATAAACTAAATTGGCCATAGTGTATGAGTGTGTGTGTGTGTGTGTGTGTGTGTGTGTGTGTGTGAGACTGAGTGTGTATGGGTGTTTCCCAGCAGTGGGTTGCAGCTGGAAGTGCATCCGGTGCGTAAAACATATGCTGGATAAGTTTGCGGTTCATTCTGCTGTGGTGCTGTGATGAATAAAGGTACTAATTCGAGAAAATTAACTAATTCTAACAATAATAATAATAACAACAATAAACAACAACAACAATAATAACAATAACAACAACAATTATGTTTTCTAGAAAAAATGGCATGTACTCAATTATGCCAAGCACTGTATTTAAAATGAGCTGAAACAATGCAGTTCTTAAAGTTATTTAGGGACAACTGAATTGTTTTGTTCAATCAACTTAAAATTGTTAAAACCATTCAACTAAATTAATCGATTTGCACTGAGATGAGATTTAGGCCCAATCCCAATTGTATTTTTACCCCTACCACTTACCCTTGGCCCTTGAAACAGAGTGTGAAGGGGAAGAGCTTTAAGATTTACCCCTAAGAAATGGGAAAGCACTATAGCACCTGCACACTTCATCGCAATCTCTTGCTGCATATGAGATCAGATGATCACGACTGCTGTAGCTATTCCAGTTGTTTTGATTTTTAGTTTTTATCTTTAGGAAATAACTGAAGGCATATATTACGTTATCATAACCATCTAATGTGACAATTAGATTGTAACTATACTGTGCATTTACACCGTGGCGATATTTATTTATATAAACACACAAAAACAACATTAACATTATAGCAGACACTGTAAAAAGCTCATTCCCAGCCACTAGACTTTTCTGACAGGGTATTCAAGTGTCATCGAGTGTCAGAATGTTGTGGGACTGCTAGAAAGGAGTTATTATTAGGGATTATATATCGTGAAATTTTGCGGTTTTTATTTTTGTGTTCTTCTTTTAAAGCATGACGGTAAAACATGAACGCAGTTATGAATATATTAAAACATTTGTTTGTTTGTTGTAAAAAGTTGTAATATTGACAAAAAAATAATAATTTGTGGATCTCCTTACTTCCGGGTGCAACCATGCTGCCGTTGTGGCTGGTGTATTCTGGGAAATTTTCTTAACCCTTGGTTTCAAGTGGGGTCCTGAAAAATCCCTATTCGAAGGGGTATCTACTCCTACCCTTTAGCCCTACGCCTTCAAGCTAAAGAGAATTGGGACAAGGGGAAGGGCTAAGGGGTAGAATTGGGATTAGGCATACTGCCATAATACTGAAAGCAGCAGCGGATAGTTCATCTCAGATCTTCGAAATAGAATAAACCGTTTGAAATTGAACTTCAGAACTGTGACTCAGTGCAAACCAACACATATCAGTGATTCAGCATCTACATTTATTAATGTTAAAGAGGTTTAATATGTATTCATTCGTTAAAAAACCTTACCATTTAGTTGGAGTGCAGTAAGTGCAGTATTCTGTGCTTCTGAATGGCTGTTTAAATTTCTGTCATGTCTTATCTGGTGCAAACAGCCAAATTGCTTATCACTGCGTATCTCCTCATGTAACATGTTGTTGAGACACGCGGTTATAATGTCACCTGCTCACCTAATGTTTACGTTTGTAATATTTATATTACATGCTAATTAAGAACCACCTCAAGTGGAACTTCGAAATTAGATGCAGATTGAACTCTATGGGCCCTATCATAAACCCGGCGCAGTGTGGCGCAATAGTCTTTTGGTAGTTTCAGCTTGGCGCAAGAGTCGTT